ATTATATTGTAAAAAGAGAAATAATAGAGAAAACAGTAGCCGACGGTTTTATAAAAAAAAAAAAACGACAAGACGATTCGTAAATATTTAAGTCGATAATGATGATGATGATGACAACGGACGACTACTATATCTATGATGTTGTGTATGTAACTGAGGACAAAATGACTCAGAAAATGATAGGGAAAAATGAGTTTGATTGAGCGCTTTCTGTCTTTTTTTTTTTTCATTAATTTTTTTTCGTTTTTTAATCGTTCTTCTTCCCAATGGTACTTAAATTATAATCGCATTATATCAATTACTATTGTCAATGTTTTTGAAAATTATGGGGGTAAATTGTTGATCGAAATGATGGAAGAGAAATACGTAGTACTTTGTCTGATGAAAGAAATAGAATGGAAAATTAAATAATTGTTCTGTTTAGGGCGTTCTTCTTATTCATTTGACATTTATAATGTATTATGCTCAGTCAGATTTAATTATAAAAAATATATGTTACGGTAAAACTCATCATAAAAGTTTTATTTCAACAGAAAAATTACTTAATTTTGTACAAGAAAATCAGAAAGAGTTTTACAGAACTGAAGTAAATAGAACACTAAAACCTAAAATTCGATATAAAAACGTTTAGAAACCTAAAACATTTACATCCTCGTAACTGAGAATGAAATCTAAGGTGTCTGAACACGATTTAGGTTTTTTAAACGTTTTTTGGGGGTTTTGTTTAATTTTGTGCAGAAAATTTTGACAAAAAGTCGTAAAAAAATAATAAAAATTGTATGCGTTTGATAAACGCGAGAAAAAGCCAAGTACGGATGATTTGATTATTGTTTTATAAATAAAAAAAACAAAAGCAACGTGTATCTTATGCCATTGTGCCTGCTCTCTCTTTCTCTCTCTCTCTCTTACGATAGACACATACAATACATACTCACAAAAACACATACATACACTTAATATTTATCCACCACCGGGTAATTAAAAAAATAATGATAATCAAAAGACGTGGGCGTTGTTGTTGTCGACCATCGGGTAGTCGGAGTTTGTTATTAATTGAAAGTAAAAGAGAGAAATCGTGGGCGCGTATGATAAGTGTCCAATAAAGAAAAGAAAACACCCGACATTTTTGCCAAAGATTGCAGTGGTGTGCGTGTCGAGAAAACAAAATGAAAAATGTACACGTATGAAGGGGTGACTGCCATCGCAGATAGCGATTATTATATCAATTTTGTACATTAAAAATGAAAAACAAACGCGGTGTTCAAAAACAAGATACTTACATAAACAAAACACAAAAAATATACACACGCATTTAGGGGTACTATCGGTAGAGTGTTGTTTTAATTAACCGTAATTATTATGTATCGTGTATAAATAATATTATCGATTTAATGATTATTATAATAATAATAATAATACTTAAATGTAAAAAGTGAAAAAAATGTTTTTTAGTCATGTAAAAAATGAAAAAAAGAGAAATGTAAATGACAAACAAATAAACAAAAATGGTTACGCATAAACAAGAGGGGAATATCTATTTTTTTTTTTTTATTAAACCACCTGGGGCCAAATGTCGACGTATCTTGTTGCCTCAGAAAAAACAGTAGGCCGGGGTCGAAATGTTCATGAATTTCGCGTAAAAAGTTCAACACACACACACACACACATACACCACATACAGGACACAGAAACAAAAATTTCGAAGATTGTTAGACTAAACAAGGACGTATCTAATTTTTGTGAACATTTTGACGGGTCGTTTTCTGTTATTATTACGTAAATATTAATTAGGGAAATAAACGTTAATATACGTTCATCTCTATATATACATGTCGTCTTTTCATACATACATAAATAACGCGGAAACATGTCTTTTCGAAACGGTTCAGCTAAGGAAAATTTTTTAATAACGCCAAGCAAACGACGCGGGCTATTATAATTTCGCTACTTTCGAAGCTACTGAAATTGGAAAAATGAATTGTTACTGATATACGTACATAAATTTTTAAAATTGGTTTCCTTAAATCTGTTTGTTCATTTTAATTAATCAAAAATATACTTAATAACATATTTTTATCGTATCATGTAATCTGAACTGTTTCGACACAATCATTT